CGTCTTCATCGAACACGACACTGACTGTGTACGGCCACACCAGCCTCGACGGGCATCACCGTGCGTGGGATCGTGCAAAGACTTACTTCTCGGCGACTGGCTCGGGGAGTTTGTGGCGCTCAGCGGGCATTGCGCTCGACTTCGTGATGCATCCACCCACGAACCGTCCGCCTTCTCACTACGCTCATCTCTCAGACGCCTTGCATCATGCGTATCACTTCAAGCACGAATGGATCATGGTCGTCGAGGACGATTTTGCCGTCTGTGGTGCGTGGGGCATGGAAGGCATCGTTCGCGTACTGCTCGAGCTAGGATCGAGCCTCATCGACAGCGCGGATGCAGATGTGCTGCACAGATCAGGTATCGTTGATGACTCCTGGAAAGCTGGAGAGAAGAGACATGCACAATGGCGGGGTGCTTTCGTTGGTACCGGTGGAAGGTGCGTGATTCCTATCGGATAGCAGGAGTATGCGCTAACGCTTAATGCACATTTAGCGGGCTTATCCTTCATCACACGCTTCTTCCTACCGTAATACGACTTCTCGAGCTTGTTGCCGGCCTTTCCGAGTCCGGCACGCCACTTCCGCGGACACCGCCTGACGTGCTCGTACAGCAATGTCTGAGCGGCGAAATCGCGCTTTGCACCGCAGTCGCCAATCCGACCATATCTCCTAAATACTCGCACTCCCAAAAAGAAGAGTTCGAGCGCAGCCCATATCCCACCTTGCTGCCTATCGCGCCAACACTCGGCCTGCCGCCACTGGTGACGCCGTTTGCCCCGCCAGCGTTCCTAATCTCGTCGCGGTTGCTGATGTCGCATACGGGCCATGCACTAAGCACGGGAAACCGATTCTATCTTGAGGGACAGTGGGCGTGCGGATGGAGGCAGCCGATGCTGGGAAATAGAGGCGTCAGTGTGGTCGTGGTCTGATCTTAGGGTTTGCGGATTTTGCATAGTGTAGGGGGATGGATATTGTCGTGTTGCGCGTACAGCTACCAAGGAAAATCCAAAATCTAATTTATACGGGTCATGGTCTACGCCTTCTTCAGTCTGCAGATTCCTATCACAGGGCTAATCTTGTGTGCCGTTGAGAGCTTCGGTATTCTACATGCTAGCTAATGGGGTCCATCTGGTATCAGTGTTGGGAGGGTCAGAGGGGGTCAGAAGTGACTGACCGTCAGTTGACGGGTCAGTGGGGTCAGGCGCCCAGAAATGGCCGGGCTACTCAACGCTGCTCGACGTCATCGAAGACGGAGAGGAGAGCAGGTAGCGATGGCAACAAATGCCTCAACACTATATACTCCCAATAACACAATATATTTTGATTTTGTCCGCATTATTGCTGTCTCTCGTATCTGCACAAGGACCTTCAGCGCCGACACCGCTGCCCGGCGTGCCACAAAACAGCTCTAGTGGGTCTCGCAAGTGAGGGGGGCTGTTAAGTGCCAAGAATGGGTTTAAGTAACTTGAATATGTATCTGTATGGTGCACGGAGCGCATCCAACAGTGCATCTGTGCATCTTACCCAAGACGTCTGATGTAAGCCCAACGTAGCCTCTGGAGCGATCCCAGAAGTTCATACAGCTGAATACGTACGTGACTATGATGTGTCATAGTAAATATGCCAACAATGTTGCTTTGCATTCAACTAGCACTGGCACCGTCACGGTTCTCGAGGGCAACAGTGGCTTCACATAAATGACATGACTAATCAGGTCCGAGCTCGGCAACAGCCGACTGACCGGTCAACGATTGACTGACCCGACTGATCCCTTTGGAGTCAGACCGGTCGGTCAGACCCAACACTGTCTGGTATATTCTCGACGTTAGAAACTAGTGCGACCCATATATGCACGGAGTATTTGTGTTGAAGCGCCTAACGGCTCTGGCTCGGCGTTCCGCCCGGCATGGACTTAAGGTGGACATCTTAGAATAGGCGCTACTAATACGTAGATAGTGATTGGACAATCGTATGTAGTGTTCCCACGCACGGACATCTTTATGGCAGGCTTCCCCATTCTAGCGGACTTTCAATTTTGCTTCCTTTTAGTATATAAGGACTCCTCTCACATCCCCACTCTGCGTGCTCTTTCCCTTCGCACTCAGAGTAAGTCCCTTCGTCGCCCTTGCGCAGTATGCACTTATGCTTACGCCCTGTATAGCTAATCCCCCGTGTGTATTAGGTTAGATCTATACAGCGTGCTCTTTCCCTTCGCACTCAGACTAATCCCCCGTGTGTATTATATCGTGCCTGCGTGCCACTCACCAGTTCGTGCTCGCGCAGCCCAGTAGTCGTATCACGACAATAGGTTATGAGCCCCGGCTTGTAACTGGCCCCCATCTACCCTCTATCCCTCACGAGTCTTCACTCGGAGAGATCCGGCACCAGCCGCACATTTGCTCCATAACACCTCAGGGTCTTTACCCCAAGTGTTACTCCACATCGCAACACGGACACTAGAGATCCTCTAGTGCATGTCTAGTCCATCTGCATCACGCCCACCTTCACCAACTGCACCGACACCTGCACCTGCACCGGCACCCCGTCCTACACGTCGCACCCCCGCCGCTCCTACTACACCCTCTCAATCCGCATCAACTGCACCTCGCCGCACAACGACAATGTCCTCCGCCTCTGCATTCGCATCAGCCACCGGTCCGCCGTCGATGAAGCTCGACGCGATCGGAAAGCTCAAAGGTTCCAGCGATTACCCACGCTGGTCCCTGATGATGCAGCAATACTTCATTGCTGCACGCGCATGGAAGGTCGTCGACGGCACTGAGAGAGCCCCTGTCCCAAGCAGCTCAGTCTCCGCTGTGGACATCAAAGCATGGGAGACGACGAACGCATACGCGAGGTTTTACATCCTCAGCACGCTCGGCGACGAGCTCCTGCACCTCGCGAACCCAGTGGATATCACAGCCGCCGCGCTGTGGAAGAAACTGAAGGACAACTACGCCGCCTCCACCACCATGTCGGCATTCGTCAAGTTCCGTGCGTACTTCTCGCACGCGATCACGGACAGCGATGACCTCGCTGCCCAACTCGACGAACGCGCCCGACTCTGGCAAGAGGTCAGCGCCTCCGGGATCCTCCAAACCCTGGAGCTCCTGCAGATATTCGGCCTGCTCACGGCCCTCCCTGACTCGTTCAACAACGTCGTGGAGCCCATCCTCGCAGTCACCAAGCCCGCCGACTTGAAGCTCGACGACATCTGCAACCGTCTCCTCGACAAAGCGAAACGTCGCAGCTCCTCCACCAACGTCGCCGCCTTCCATGCACCGAAGGCGTCTACCTCAGGCAAAGCCAAAGCTGGCAAACCTGACGGCAAGAAGGGCAAGTGCAACTTCTGCCACTACAAAGGCCACTACGAGCAGGATTGTAGAAAGAAAAAGGCCACCGCCGAAGAGGCGCGGAAGGGCAGCAATGGCAAAGCCCAGGACGGTAAAAGTAATCCGTCCGGTAGTAGTACTGGTCACGCATCTGTACATGTAGTCACCGCCGAAGGAGCCGCTGCTCCTGAGGCTGAAATTCACTCCGCTTCCTGGTATCTCCATGGTGTGAAACGCTGGATGTTAGACTCCGGCTGTACACGACACATTACAAACGGCCTGAACGACTTCGCTGAGTACACTGCATTCGCGTCGCCTACATACGCAACACTAGCAGACAAGGCGAAAACGCAAGTAAGCACGCTCGGTTCAGGTGTTGTCGAGGGCACTACGCTCGTCGACAACAAACCAGTAAACATCAGGCTAGAGAACGTTCTCTACAGTCCTGCAATGTCCGGACGGCTAATCTCCGTCTCATGCATCGAAGACAAAGGCTTCGATCTCGTCTTTGGGAAAGGACGAGCCCAAATCAAGCGTGGTAACACCACGTTTGGCATAGGCACTAAGTCCCGCGGTCAGTATTGGTTGGACCTCACTCCACCTCCACCATCTGTCGCGGTCTCCACGCACAACGCCACTTCGCTCGACGTTATCCACCATTGGTTCGGTCACCTGAACTGGGAGGCAGTACGCAAGCTCGCCGCTGCTGATTCCTCTCCCGTCAAAGGCCTCATCGCCGCCGATATGGATAAACCTTCGCATCCCTGCGAAGGCTGCGTCTTGGGCAAAGCACACAGGCGTACATTCCCCACATCATCCACCTCATGCGCCAACAAACCCTTCAACCTCATTCACTCTGACCTCGACGGACCTATGTCGGTGGTGTCCCTCACAGGCCACCGATACTTCGCCACCTTCATCGACGACTGCTCCGACGTCACATGGGTCTACTATCTGCATACAAAGGATGAGTTCCTCTCCGTGTTCAAAGACTTCGTAGCCCTCATCGCGCGACAGTTCGATACGGTCATCAAGGTTTTTCGGTCAGATCGAGGGGGTGAATACCAGTCCAACGAGTTCATCAACTTGTTGAAGAAATCTGGGATCATCCACGAGCGCACGATACCCGGTACCCCACAGCAAAATGGCAAAGCTGAGCGCATGAACCGCACGCTCGTAGAAGCCGCTAAGTCAATGCTACAAACCGCCAGGTTATCACACGGATTCTGGGAAGAAGCTGTTCGCACAGCTGTGCACGTACGCAACAGAGGCCCTAAGAAAGCCATTGCATGGCGTATGCCCTTGGAAAGACTCACTGGCACCACACCGGACGTGTCCCACTTCCGAGTCTTCGGTTGCCAGGCCTATCGCCACATACCCGGGGATAAACGCAAGAAACTCGATGCTAACGCTGAGAGCCTGGTGTTTATCGGCTACGAGACAAATTCTAAAGGTTATCGTCTATGGGATAAACGTAGCAGAAAGATCACCACGAGTACTGATGTGATATTTGACGAGTCGATCTTCCCCAATAAACTCCTACCCTCACCGTCCTCGACACAACCGACCGGATCTACATCCACGCTGCCGTCATCTGTCGAACTCGAACTACCACCCCTTAACACGCCACCGGCTCCTACGCAGCTGCCACAGCCTGTACCACCTCCTACCCAACCCATCACACCAAAACCACCTACAGTATCCCAAATACCACGCCTTACACCTCAAACAGAGTTGTATCCAGCTCCGCCAATCCTGCCAAGTGCACCGGTCAAGCCTGAATTCAAAGGCAAAGCCAAAGCCTCACCATCTCGCGTCGTTGCCCCTCCGCCACTCCAGCCAAATCCCAACACTACCTCGTGGGACTACAATTCCTTCACCAACCCTGAGCATGCCACGACGTCATCAGGCATCCGCCGCGGTACCCACGAGCGTAAAGCAACTCAGAAATGGACGAGCATTTGGCCCGGAGCGACCGAAGCGGACATCGAGGAAGCACTGAACACAGGCAAAGAACCAGGCGACATCGCTGCGATCGTAGGCGACTCCTCCATCGCTAGAGAGCCACGAACCTACAAACAAGCAGCTGACACCCCGGATTCAGCAGAATGGATGACTGCCATGCAGGCCGAAGTCACTGGCCTCCTGGAACAAGGCACCTGGGAACTTGTCGACTTACCAAAGGGTCGCAAGGCGATCAAGTGCAAATGGGTATACGTTGTCAAGCGCAACGAGAACGGAGAAGTGGATCGCTACAAGGCAAGGCTCGTAGCCAAGGGGTTCACGCAAGTTCAAGGCATCGACTACGAAGACACCTTCGCTCCCGTCGCCCGTCTGGAATCCTGGCGATACCTCATCGCCCTAGCGACTATCCAGGACTGGGAAATCTATCAGATCGACTTTGATAGAGCATATCTGAATGGAGAACTCGACGAGGAGCTCTACATGGAGCAACCTGAAGGTTTCGTAACGGACGCAGGCAAAGTATGCCGCCTGCGGAAAGCAATATACGGGTTAAAGCAAGCGGGACGAACATGGTTCCTCACGCTCAAAGCCTGTCTCGAGGACATTGGATTCGCATGCCACAACGCCGGCGACGTATCCATCTTCATTCGCTGTCAACGAGGGGGATCCACTCAAATTCTTGTGGTTTACGTTGACGACCTAACTATGATGGGAAACAGCCTCGATCTCATCCAACAAACAAAAGAGGCATTGAAGGAAAGGTTCCAACTCAAGGACCTTGGCGAACTCAAGTACTACCTCGGCATCCGCGTCACGAGGGATAGGGGGAGTCGAGCTACATACCTTGACCAGGAAACGTACATCGAGTCCGTTCTCAAACGATTCGGATACGAAGACTGCAACCCCGCATCCACACCACTCGGCACTGACATCATACTTGAGAAGAACGAGGAAGACCCTGCGGACTGCCCACAAGACCGCATCAAGCTCTACCGCTCACTCCTCGGCTCACTCATGTACACCATGCTCGGGACTCGCCCCGACATCGGCTTCGCCGTCGCCCGACTTTGCCAATACCAGGAAAACCCCTCACCAAAGCACGTAGCTGCCGCCTATCGTGTTCTCAAGTACCTCCGCGGCACCTCCAACTATCGACTCTGTCTAGGTCAGAACGACGAGACCGATAGCCGTTTGCTCGGTTACACCGACGCAGACTTCGCGAACGACAAGGACAACTCCGTCTCAACATCCGGCTGGGTTTACAAACTCGGTAGAGGCGCAACCAGTTGGTCTTCTTGCAAGCAACGCTCTGTGGCTCGAGACACCTTCGACGCAGAGTACTTCGCAGCCGACGAAGCAGTCCGACATTTACAGTGGCTCGAAATCTTCGCTGAGTATATTGAACACCCACTTGCAAAGCCTGTCCCTCTCCACTGCGACAACAAATCTGTCGTTGATGCTGCCCAGTTACCCAACGTCAAGCATCGCACGAAACACACCCGCGTCAAAGCTCACGCTGTTCACGAGCAATTCGAAGCAGGTCTGATCGAACTCGTTAGGATTCCCGGTGTCGACAATCTGGCTGATATTCTCACAAAGCCCTTACCGGCTGAGGTACACAACCGTCACACCCAGTCTCTTGGCCTCGTTCCGTATCGCCTCGCCAAGGGGGAGTGTTGAAGCGCCTAACGGCTCTGGCTCGGCGTTCCGCCCGGCATGGACTTAAGGTGGACATCTTAGAATAGGCGCTACTAATACGTAGATAGTGATTGGACAATCGTATGTAGTATTCCCACGCACAGACATCTTTATGGCAGGCTTCCCCATTCTAGCGGACTTTCAATTTTGCTTCCTTTTAGTATATAAGGACTCCTCTCACATCCCCACTCTGCGTGCTCTTTCCCTTCGCACTCAGAGTAAGTCCCTTCGTCGCCCTTGCGCAGTATGCACTTATGCTTACGCCCTGTATAGCTAATCCCCCGTGTGTATTAGGTTAGATCTATACAGTGTGCTCTTTTCCTTCGCACTCAGACTAATCCCCCGTGTGTATTAGATCATGCCCGCGTGCCACTCGCCAGTTCGTGCTCGCGCAGTCCAGTAGTCGTATCACGACAATAATTTGTCCAGGTAACGTGGGAAATGAGCCATTACACGATGACGGACGACCCGAAGCGCGGTCTCATATACTCGCAACATACTGTATCCCTGTCCATTATTTCACATTAATCGTCCGTCAGATAAGAAATATCACTACTGCGTGTTCTCGCTTGTTCGAGCAGATGTAGCATACCAGGCGAGAGCTGGTCGACATCAGCTCGGTCGCGGGCCAGCTCATCAGCGAGCTCCCACTCGCCACTTCGGATCAGGTGGGCCATGAGCTTGCCCCATATCTGCCAATTCACTGCACGCCCTTTCTCGCTATTTGCGCGCCTGTGCATCCGATAATATGCCATGGCGCGCCGCATCCCCTCGGGCGTTGGGTTTTCGCAGCATGCTTGGATAACATGCATGATCTGAAGCTTGAATCTGGGTAGCTTGCGCGGCTGATGCTTGTTCATCTTCGTGATGACAAGGTGCTGGTAGTAGGCAGCCAAGGACGGCTTGCTCCATACTCTGCGTTCAATTCCGCAGAGGACGGCACCGAATGTTTTGCTAGTGGGCGCCAGCTCTGGCATGTGAGCCTCCATATATTCAATGATGGCGACGACTGCCTCGAACGCGGTGTCGTCCTCCGAGCGTACGAGATGTGTCAGGAGCGTCGTGCATGTATCAGTGTCAACGGTAACACCGTTTTGGCGCAAAAGGGCGAGGATGAGCTGTAGCGCATCCGTCCGCGCCGAGTAGAGGGCGGGCAGAAGGACAGAAGCTGTATAGATGTCACCATGCATACCCAAAACGTCCATCTCTCGCATGATGCTAGAGATCCCACGCAAATTCTTGCTTCGGCTGTAGAACTTCATGAACACATTGAACGAGGCTACGTCCGGCTTTGGCTCCCTCTTCTTCATGCGCTCG